TTCCACATTGGCCAGGGCTTCAGTGACAATTACTGAGAACCCAGGAGCTACTAAAGATGTCATTGGTAATGAAAAAAAATTAGCTGGAAGTCAAATTGCAAAAGGACAAGAAATAAGGAGAAGCAGGGCTTCCCTGGTGGTGCAGTGGTGGAGAGTCCGCCTGCCAATGCAGGGGACACGGGTTCGTGCCCCGGTCCGGGAAGATCCCACATGCCGCGGAGCGGCTAGGCCCGTGAGCCATGGCCGCTGAGCCTGCGCGTCCGGAGCCTGTGCTCCGCAACAGGAGAGGCCACAAGAGTGAGAGGCCCGCGTACCACAAAAAAAAAAAAAAAAAAAAGAAAAGAAAAGAAAAAAGAAAGAAGGAGAAGCATGAAAACAGGGAGCATAGATTGTTACCTTGGGAAACAAGTAGTGAAGGAAAGAGGGGAACTTGAGAACTTGAACACATTTGCGGTAAAGGGTAAAGTCAGTGAAAAGGAAAGGATAATTAACAGACCTCCTGTTAAGGTCAGAAAGAAAATGGTTTAAAAACCTCAGATGAAGGAATAATCTTAGACAGGAAGAGGAAAACTTCCTCTGTCCCCAGGGACATGAAAAAAGTAGCTGTGCAGCACTTATGTCTAAACTGAGGTTGTAAACAATGAATGAACATTGTTATACACTTTTTGCAGTCATCCAGAGGACAAGCAAAGAGAGATGGTTTGGTTGATTTTGATCGGACAGGAGTGTGAGAAAGACAAGAAAGCAAGGAAATTGAAAGCACTGAAGAGAAGGATTAACAGGGATTCCAGACTGAGAAGAGAGCTGCTGAGAAAATAGCCATCTTGATATGGTCAGAAAGTAAATGTGGTGCAAATTAGAAAGATAATGGGTGATAGTCAGGTGGGTTTTTACTTTTGACTTTACAATGAGAGATGGCCGGGACCCCAAATCCCTATATCCTGGACTAGACACATGCAAAACATTTACAAGAAGAGACACGAGAGGCTAATGCAAACTGGTCGCACTGTTTGCTACTATTTTGTCCCAAATCCCTATGTAGTGTTTTATTCTCATGACCTGAGTAAGAAGAACTTAAAGATCTACATCCTTTTTTGCCTCTTTGGCTTAAGTCCTTCCCTGGATCCAGGCTGAGTGCTATTTGATGCTTGTTTTCTCCTGAGCCCTGCCTTGGTCTCTGCTTGGTCTTTACTGCCTGTATGTGGTAACAGTAACATTTTGAAAAGAGAGCAACACACTAAGATAAAAAAAAGTTAAACTGTTTGCTCCTCTATTCTAAGATGTTATCCTTAATATAGTAAAACCCTGTGTGTCTGTGAGCACTCCTTTTTGTTGATTCATTTTAGTTTTTCAGTGAACAGGTTGGGTGCATCAGGAAGCCTTGTACTTCTTCTAGATAAGTGGTTCTCAAGTTGTGGAGGTGAGGGTAGGAGGAAAAAAAAAAAAAAGATATGAAAGTATCCCAGGGAATGTTTCCAAGGGGAAGAGAGTGCTCATCTCTCTGTGTGTGCAGGGGGAGGAGGGAGCATTGTAAAAACTTTCAGGGGGTACTGATAAACACCTATCTTTCTTCTGACTGAAAATCACTGTCCTACAGGTGAGCAGGTAAGAAGACAGGAGTGATATTGGAGTTTAATATTTGAGAGGTGGGATGGCTCTAGTAGGTGATAAAGTCCAGGAAGTGGGCTACCAGGGTGGAACAGAGGTGAAAAGTTTTGGAGTAGAGGCCAGGAAAAATGAGGCTGGAATGCTGGGTATGTCCACCACAGGGTGGCTGAGCTTTGGCTTTCTCCATTATTACCTGCAACACTTTCCCAAGCATCAAGTACATAGTGTATGTTCAATAAATACTCTTAATAGACTGTGTACATTTCAGAAAAATGTATTACTTTTAATATCAATTATGTGAGCATGCAACATTGCTAAATACAAAAGTCATACAAGCTCACAAATGACTTCAGAGACCGCCACTTGCAATTAAAGAACAATTTAGGCCCTATAAAGACATCATAAACATAGATCCGTTCCTGTTTTCACTTGATGACTGTACATTTTCACCCTATTACTACTGGTTTCACTCAGAAACTCTATTGCCCACAGTTACATTTCTTTACCCCTTAATGCTTCTCTGAAGAGAAACAGACATTATCAGTCATCTTCTAAAATGGTGTATTTCCACTGTGCCTGAGTAAGACTCAAGTGTTGGGCATTTACAGTACACAGCTCTGGGGATATTGTCTAAAAATTGGAGGCTGCCTGTCTATTACCTGTTGGAAAAACATTTCTATGAATTTATGATATCAATATGTCAGCATAGGACACTTACAATTGATAAAAGGTAAATTTGAAAAGTTTACACTTGTTGCAAATAAGTTGAAAAACGGAAAATTTCAATTTCTAGTTAATTAAACAAAATGAGTAGCATGGAACATAAAAAGTCTGAACCATGCTAAGTTTACAGACTCCATGTCAGAAAAAAATGTCTTCTGGGAAGTATAACACGAAAAAATAAGTTGACATTAAATTTATTACTATTATTTTTTAGATAAAAGTGCTACTCACATATGTGTCATTGCTCAGCTAGGTAACCTTGAGAAAAACAATTGCCCTTTCTGGGACTCAGTTTCCTCCTCTAAAATATGGAGGCTGATTCAGTCCATCTCTAAAAGTTCCCTTCCAGATAAACATGCTCTGTAACTGGCTTCAACTTTAGGGCGCGTGCAGTAGAAAGCTCCCTGGAGACAGATAAACAGTTTCAAATTTTATTCATCATTTATTAGCTTTTCAAGCTTGTAAAAGTTATACTTTATTGAGCCTTAATTGCCTTATTTATGAAATGGAATAACGCTACCTCTTTAATTGAACTGTTTGAGGATTAAATGGGATAATATGTGCTGTGAAGTGAATAGCATAAAGTCAGTTGGTTAACAGGAATTCAATGTGTATTATCAAATCAGTGTCTTAGTTTTCTACTCTTTCCTTCTCTCCTTAAAAATTCAATTCCTTGTATGTTACTGACTTGCAAGTAAAAGATATTATGATAAAATTTGGAAGATACTATGAACTTTTGCTGAGCAACATTTGTAGGATGTGAATGTTTTGGAAAGCTAATTTTTATTTTCTGGCTTGGGAAAACCTCTGGATTTGAATATAGCAGACAAAGTAGCAGCAAGAGGTCAAAAATAATTCAAAAGCTCCATATGACTTCACAATTTAGCAACTATTATATATTCAAAGACAGGCATGATACCACATGCATTAATAATAGTATATCACACAGGAATATAAATACTCCACATATACTCAGCACTAGTCCTAAACTTTACAAAATCACATGAAATCAGTTTGGAATTCCACAATTGTAAGGATGAAGAGAACTTTACCTAGAATCACAAGAAAGCTATGAGGATAATAAATAAGGATATTAAAAAGTGATTGTATGGGTTGGATGTGCTAAATAGACTAGCAGAAATTGTCTCATAGCCCCAGGAACCTCTTTTCCCACTTGTGAGTCTATTAATAGGTGGATTTGTTTGAACGTTAACTGGACATTTTGGATCCTACTGGGTTAAGCAGAAGGAAGTACTCTAAAATTTAATCTTTCCTATTGTCTCAATGACTCACACTGTTAACATTTTTTCTAGTAATATGTGATTGAGGACCATGTGATACCCATGCCCTTATTCCACTCATTCAAAAAGTACTGTAAAGGGAGATGAGGGCAGACTTACCTTTCATCCTTTATGTAACTACAAAGGAGGGCTGAGTTCCTGGTATGTCCATATAGATTATCTGTTGAAATGCTGCTTAACCTACTTCACATGGGATTGTATCTAAGACCTCAAGGACCGTTAAGTGGGGTCTTTATTGCAAAGGGTCTTCCTGTTGCCTGCCATTTGTCCAGTAATTCATGAGCCATTGGCATATTACTGGTGCCTTATATATTACCACTGAGAAATGATTTCATAATACTGACCAGTGAGATTACACAGTTCATAGAAACTTTCCATATAAGAACCACGATGTCAAAACACAGCAGAGGTCACTAACAGTATTAATGAAGATTTTGTCAGCTTCTAATGATGATTATTATTGTATCAGAATGGAATTCACACTAATTATTAGTAAAAGTTTACAAACATTAGAAAGTGCATAATAACATTTGGATCTGATAGGGCTGAAAAAAGACATGAAAAACACAACACAAGGGCTTTACTTTTGTGATTGGTGTCCACATGATTGCAAGATCATTTTCTACATCTTTTGCTGCTCCGTGGAGATAAGCTGTCCTCCAAATTTAATAGTATCATACAGCACTGTGATAAATTTGATTCCATAGAAGAAAATATGTCCCATGCTTAGTATTATCTTGTATTCTCTTTCCCATCTCCCCAATTCTCAGAAATCCTCATAATTGGAAATAAAAATATACGTTGGAAAAAGTTCTCCACTTGGGAATAAGACAAAATTTGCAGTTTGAATTCTGGTCTGTGTAGACACCAAACAGACTGAATTCAGGTAATATTCACATTAATGGATATTTTCAAATGCCTGTATAATAAGCAAAGGAGTTTTGATGAATCTGTTAGACTTAATTCATCAGCTGTGCATTAAGGGGAAAGATTAGGTTTTAAAAAACGTGTGCTCTCAGGGCTTCCCTGGTGGCGCAGTGGTTGGGAGTTGGCCTGCGGGTGCAGGGGACACGGGTTCGTGCCCTAGTACTCCGCGAAGATCCCACATGTCGCGGAGCGGCTGGGCCCGTGAGCCATGGCCGCTGAGCCTGCGCGTCCAGAGCCTGTGCTCCGCAACGGGAGAGGCCACAGCGGTGGGAGGCCCGCGTACCGCAAAAGAAAAAAAAAAAAAAAAATGTGGGTTCTATCCTGTGCACACCACCACACGATAGAGCAGAATTTTTAGGCAGCCCTTTTAAAAATGAGTAGTATAAAAATTCACAGTAACGTACATCATTTTTGTTTTTCATAAGCAATCAAAGAAGGGGGCAGTGCTGAGCATCTATATTGTATAATACAAAACAGTGTAAATAACACAGCAGGAACACACAGATACATAATGCTAAAAACAGTGCTTTCTGGATGGTTCTTTTACTGGGTGAATACTTGGGCCAGAGATATTTAAACTCTGGGGTTCAACCAACCCTTTGCGATTAGACACAATTAAATCCTCTGACATTGTGAGGGGCCAGATGCTACAGGAAGAATCATCACCTAGGTCGGTGCTACTCTCTACAAGCATTTAATCATATGGTCAAGTGAAAGGATCCGTACAAAAATGACATCCAAACACAAGCCACATGATTTCAACCATTGCTGATGCCAGAGGTAGAGAAAAGTCTGTCTGCAGCCACAGCCTCTGCCCCCATTTTTAACATAACAAGCAGGTTCCTGCAATGCAGCACAGCCATTTTCTTTTTCCCCTTTTCACTCTTGGAAATAAATGCATTCCAGCCAGGCCTGGAGATTTGAGACATTGTCAGGTGTTGATGAAGATCAAAGTGGGGTGTTAACTTTCAGATTTTGCTGCTTCTCCCTGGGCTTCCCCACTTTGTTCTGTTGAATTTCGCTGTGCATCTTCTTCACCTTCTGTTAGAGACATAAAAAAGGATAAAGGCAAAATAAAAATGATTGCTTATATTTACTGACTCTCAGTATATCATATTGGAAATTTCAGAAATACTCAAGTCTGAAATTCTCATAGAGACAAGTATATTTTCTTGGTAATCAATTCCCCATCAAGAAAACAGCTTAAGTGTTTCAAGAGCTAATTCTGGTTCTGGAAGAGCATGGCTCAAAAACAAAATAATAACTGCATTTTTAGAATGGTTAGTGATGCTCTATGCTTCTGATAAATAGCTGGGAAATCTCATGGCCAGGTCATGGCATGGCACTTGTAGTTTCATAGGTTGCAGAAATCAGACGTAGGGAACAAGTTTACCTTTTGATGCCTGACTATCTTATATTAAGAAATATTTTAAAATTACATTTTACGTTATTCTGAACACTTGATGAAAACCTAGCTGACTTCTCATAGGTTTAATTAATTTAAATTAAAAGCAACAGTGGAAGGACATTATGTCAGCTGGTTAGTCCCTTGTCAAATAGTTATGATGGCCTCTGGCCTGCCCTTACAGAACATATGTACAAATCCAATAAAACCACTTTCATAACTGTACCCTTAGCAACAATCTCAGCCATAGCAACACTAAAATTAAACAATGCTTTCTCTCCATATTAGGTCACTTTACCTGGGTGCAAGCTGCAGGCAATTCTTGATTCAAAGATTCAAATATTTGCATGTGTTAGCTTGTTACTAAGCGACCAATATGGCTTAGTGGACAAAATATTTGGGTGTGCAATAATGCGTATTATATTAATTTTTGCTAAGAGTTTATTACCATAATTCAAATTAATTGAAGTAAGTAGACTGTCCATTATTTAGATGGAAATTTTGAAGGTAATTACTCCTTTACGCTTAACAAGTACACACAAGACACCTCACCATGCACCATACTTTAGGGAAATTAAAAGCAGTTTTTCCACATAAAAATCATATTCTGTTCTAAAGGTGTTCCAAGAATATCATGATGCATTATATAGAATTTTCATGTACTATCTTCACTATTAGAGAAATGAACAAGCCCCCAAGTTATGCAGATGGCCTGAATCTGAGATGTGTAGATTAGCATGAAATGAGAACTCGATAAATAGGAGAAGCTCTGTCAACCAAAGGAATGAAGTCATATTAGGGCAGATGCAAGACAGTAGAATATTAAGGATGAAAGTGACTGCATAAATACAAGATGAGGATCTTAACTCCCATGGGGCTTGGGACTTTCTAGGTATCCAGGGATACTCCTCAGGGCTCAGAATAATGCTGCAAACACAGAGCTGTGGCTAAATAGATGCTTGTTAACAAGTCAAGATAAACATAGGACAACAATATTGTTGAGCATAAACTTAAATAGAAGCTGAAATACTCAGGAATTACAAAGGAAGTCCCGTGCTATTCTCAGCTAGTGATATTTAATTTGCCATTGTACAGTTGTCTTTATTTTTTATGTTTTGGACTTTTGATTGTACAGTTATTACTTTTAGTTCTTGGTACTTAGAATAATAAATAAAGTCAGTGCTGTTTATACTTTGCCTTATTCTGGATTTTGTGATTTGAAGAGAAACAGAAAATTCTTTCAGGGTCTACAGAATTGCAATTAACATGTAGAAATATTTGAAAAAGAATATATCTGGAAGCATAAAGATATTTGAATTATTTTAAATTATTTAATTATAACATATTAATATCAAATATAAAATTATTAATATAAAATGTCAACCTATTTAAATTTTAACATAGTCTAATAGACTATGTTAAGAGACTATAGTCTCTTGTATAAGAAAGGTCTTGAGGTTAATGGGTCTTAATTTCAGTGAAAACAAAAAAAGAAGAAATTAAACTACACTATGAATAAAAATGTCCTCATAGTAAGAGTGGCTAAAATTAATGCAGATTATTTAAAATAGAGTATTCATATAAAACACAAATTTTATGAAAAAGATTAGTAAATTCTCAAATATTGCAGAAAAATTATATTTACTTACTTCATGCCACCAAATTGGAATAATTCCCTATAGCCTTTCTCAGAGCTATTTTGAAAATTAACTCCTGGTAGTAACAGAGAAACAACAAAATCTAAAATATACATCAGTCTATATACTCCATGGAAGTGATTATTAAAGTTTTATTTTCAACCTGAGTTTTAAAAGACCAATCTATGACCTGCTGACCTGTAGTCATTGAATAAAGTTCTGTCAGTAGGTATTTTAAGGTAATGTTGATGAGCTATTTCATTTATATATATATATATATATATATATATATATACTCTGACTCAGTTTTCCAATAACTGGAAGGCTTTGCCATGAAAATTCTAATAGCAAAGAATTATCAAGCTGTTACCAAGAGTCAGAAACTGACCAGTGTTTTTCACATATATAACACTGTGTTTCCTTAATTGTGAACTCCTTTTTACTTTTAAAGATTATTTTTTGCACAAGTGTTTTTCAGGGAAATACATTCAGCTTTGATATTTGCAAAAGCTATGGATGGAAGAGCCATCAGGGGTTTCAGCACTTTGTACTTTGACATGTCAAACTTATTTTACTTTTTCATTGGTAAAGATAGATTTGGTGGGTAGGAGTTCGAGGCCCAATAGTAAGACAAATTTTTCAAACTCAGTCTATCATGAAAGGAAAACTTCTTACCTAAGACTTATTTATGTAATAGACTATTTTACTTCCATTCTCAAGAAAAATGGTCCTGGAGACCCTTTTATTTTGAAATGGTTCTTGGAATCGAGATCTGTCAGACTTATCTGTGAATCTTGTTAAATATCTAATGCTATTAAGTGTTACAGGTGGCCAAACTGTCAAAGGTAGGAGCTCCAACTTTGTTAAATGTTCTACATAAGATATTTCAGAGCTTTTATAGAGATTAGGATTAAGTAAAAAAAAAAAAACTCATGTGTTTTATTGATTGCATTAGTAAAATCAGATTAAGGATTCTGCATTTGAGTGGGAAACCCTGTAAGGTGCAGTCATTGAAAACAGAGTGGGAGTGATTAAGAGATTAGTACCTGCCTTTTATCTTGCCTTAGACTGTTTATAACTTTCTATTACGTTACTTTCAAAGGTGTTTTTTCATGACTTAATCCTACTTAGCGAAGTGCTGCAAATCATTCCATGTTCATAGAGATGGATGTCAAACGACTCACCTGTCTTGTTGATATCAAGACCTGCTAATTTCAAGGCTAATTCATTGCTGTTACCACTTGCAGAGGAAACCAGGATATCATGTATTGCATTTCTTCTACCCGTTCTTCCTGAAGCAATAAAATCTGCATATGTAGTTTCCACATCAGTCATTGCTAACAAATATCCACATAGCAGGAGCTACAAAACAGAGAAAAATTAAAAGGTAAATATAATGTTGGTCAATGGTAAACATTTAACAAAGACACTTGTTAAATTACTGGCCTATAATATGGATGTGAAATAACTGTCTTGCTTACATGTCCACAAAGCAAGTAATGCTTTGATTCTTGATCAAGGGTCAGGGAACATTTTTTGTAAAGGGCCTGATAGTAAATATTTTAGGCTTTGAGGGTATATAGTCTTTATCCAACTACTCAACCCTATGGTTGTAGGACAAAAGTACTCAAAGAGAATACATTAAATAAAAGTAATAAACTAAACTTATAAAAATAGGCATAAGGTCAGATTTGGCCTGCATGCCGTAGTTTGTGGACACCCAGTTTAGATCATAAAATTCTCCTTCTCTAATACCATTTTAGTCAGTCTTCAACTCCAGAAAGAAGAACTTGAGCTCAGTAGCATACCAAAGTGGTGGGAGGTGGAGTGGAAGTTTTCCACCCTAGACATGAGCAGTAAGCAAGGGCATTGTTTGCAGAGAACCTAAGAACAATAATGAAATTGACCAAAATCCAGTTTGTTTTTTATTATCATCATGCACCAGCAATTCTAAACAATGCCAGTGACCAAATACCGCTCCCAGTCCAGGAGCACAGCTTCCTTGTTGCTTACTTGGTAAGTCATTCCTTGGGAGGAATAATAATCTTTCTTGACTGAAACTTTGAAATAAAATCTTCAAAATTACAAAGGACTCAGTGAAAGTGAGTTTCCCCAAACAGACCTGGTAACACACATACTTAGTTAAAGACTTAATGAAGAAAATATTTTCAAGGTAGAATATGAGATACATGTAATAACAAAAGATCATCAAATGTAAATCTTTCATTTTTTTTACATCTTTATTGGGGTATAATTACTTTACAATGGTGTGTTAGTTTCTGCTTTATAACAAAGTGAATCAGTTATACATACACATATGTTCCCATATCTCTTCCCTCTTGCGACTCCCTCCCTCCCACCCTCCCTATCCCACCCCTCTAGGTGGTCACAAAGCACTGAGTTGATCTCCCTGTGCTATGCGGCTGCTTCCCACTAGCTATCTATTTTACGTTTGGTAGTGTATATATGTCCATGCCTCTCTCTCGCTTTGTCACAGCTTACCCTTCCCCCTCCCCATATCCTCAAGTCCATTCTCCAGTAGGTCTGTGTCTTTATTCCTGTCTTACCCATTCCAATTACATCATGCCAATAATCAAGAGAAAGGAGTCTTTTCAAAATATACGAAATGTGGAAGAAGCAAAAATGGTAGAACCCATACACTATCATGGACATGCACACTGTCACTCTGAAATAAATTGATGCCATTTACAGTGAAATCCAGGATGGCAGTCAGTAGCACTTTCCTTAAAGCTTAGTTCTTCTCCCAGTGCATAATGAGGGAGCTATTAATTTAATCTGGGGAAAACTTTTATACTCTCTCTTCTGTAAGAGGAAGCTAAAAGAGGAAACAGGTAGGAATAGCACAATACAAGTTTTGAAATAGGAAGTATATGAATACTGCATGCTTTGCTGTGACTATATTATGGTTCCAATCACTTGACTATATCCATCATTCTTTTTCATGGGAATATGATTTAATGGTTGTTACCATGTTACTTAAAATTTCCAAATGCTCCTCAGAAGATCCTGGATTTAGTCCTGCCCCTGACATTGGGTCATGGAGTGACAGAAAATCACTTGACCTCCTGGCCTTCCATTTTCTAATAAGTAAAGCAGGACACCTGGATGACATAATCATTAATGGCACTTTAAGTGAAAGTGTAAAAACAATGATCACTCAAAACTATATCATTTCTAGAATCTTGAATTTGGAAATTCCCTTCTGTGACCATAACCACCAATTTTTTTCTTTTCCTCTTACTCATAATGAATCTGTTCTTCACACTGGTCATATCTTTAATTCCTTTAACCCTTTTTGTTTTAGTTTCCTCTAGGCCCAGTCTGGATCAATTGCCCACCGTTTCGTGTAGCTTCTCATTAGCATAAGAAGTCCCTTTGGTCTACCGTCACCTTGACTTTCCTAAGCCTCACCTGGAAAACAGCACGGTACACTTTCTCTGATCTCATTACTGGGTGGATAAGTGTTACCAAAAAAGTCATAAAATTGTGCCAATTGGTTCAACTAAACATTTTTACTCTATTATTAGTATACACTCTGAGTTGAACGGAAATTCTTTTGTTCACTTCTATTTGACTCCTCTGTATGGCTTCTCTCTGTGGGAAGGATTCCAAACCCTTTGTAGTCCACACAACCAGACACTACCTGCCTTAAGAGGTGACTTTGCATCTTCCTTCTTGGGGAAGATATAGGACATCTGCTGCAAGTTCTCTTACATTTCTTCCTTTCTCAAATACATTTCTCTGTAAATCACTATTGTTTCTTTTCTAGATGAACTAGCTGCTTTCTTTTTAAGGCATGCTATTGATTCTATTTCCTATTACCTCCTGTAGGACCTTTCTCCATCCATTTTTTTCTCAGTAATTTGAGTCTTCTTTCTCCTCTGGATTTCTCTGTCAAGTTTATAAGCATGTTCAAGTCTTTCCTTACTAAAAAACAAATGAACCAACCATTCAACCAAATACCCATTCCTCGACCTTCATAAATCTTTGCACTACCTTCTCTTTCCTTCATTAAACTTCTCAGTAGGGTTCAACTACTTTTATTTTCTCACTTTCCTTGAAACAACCTTTAGAATTTTTCTATTCCATTGGCCTTTATATAGTATGTTTTACAGAGACTACTTTCATATAGATCACTGAAATGATCTGTATTAACATTAAGTAACCGCTTAGTGTTAAATGTTCTTGTGACTGTCTATCCTGTTTGAGCTCACATGACACTGCCAGTTACATTCTCCTTGAAACTCTCCCCTAGCATATATTAAAAGTTATAGAGAAAAAAAAAAAAAAGTTATAGAGGCAAAATAATTATAAGAATCAGATTTATCTGTATTTGAATCTAGACTTTCCATTTACTTGTTATGCTATGTCTAATCCCTCTGTGCTCAGTTCTTTATCTATAAATTGTGATAAATATACTTAGTTCTCAAGATTATGAGAATTTACTTGGATTATGTATCTCAAGAGATTAACATAGTGTTTGGCACATGGTGGGTAAGTACTGATTAAAAAAAAAAAACTGTCACTTCCTTAGCTTTCATGATCCCTTACCATCCTGGTTCCATCCCATTTGACCTTTGTATTTTTTACAGACTTCCCTTTCTAGGGTCACCTTTAGAAATCAGAGCACATTTTGTAGGAATTTAGAATCAGTCATTGACCTTCTTTACTTTCTTACTTGAATAACTCATCTAATTCCAATGCTTCTAATTCCTCACTATGGATAATACAAACGTCTGCATCTGCTATTTAGAATGTTCTCCCAAGGTCCTCACACACAAGATCAACTGCCTGCTGAATACGGACTTCCACTTGGTTTTGCACAAACATTTCAAATTCAATAAAACAAAGTAAGACAACAACAAAACACATAAATAGAGAAAACTGGCTTCATTAATACGCCGTGTTGGGGCATATTTTGACTTATTTCTCTCACTTGATATCCATGTCTAATCATCTGCCAGGTCATGTTGGTTTCTATTTGATGTCACTCATATTTATTCTCTGTAAAACACAGAAAAAGCTCTTACCAGGATTATTGCTGAGTTTTCCCACAATCTGAAAAGAACCCACTTTTGCTGCTTTAACTTTAACCACTCACTCTCATACTTGGTATGCTACAGAAAAATGCACAGTGTTTTCCCAGAGCTTCTCTGATGGTGCATTTGCTCAATTCTGTTATTCAACCTGGAATGCCTTCTCCTGACAAACTTGCTTGTTGAAATGGATTTAGCCCTCAAAATTCAGCCAATGCCATCTTCTCTTTGTCTTCTTTCCCCTATCTCTTCACCTAGCACTCCCACAGGCCTTGATTTGTGCCCGTACAGGGCGTTAAAATTCTAACTGGCATCATGGTTGCCTCTCCTTCTAGACAGATCACAAGTTCTGACAAGACAGGAAATGCATTTTGTTAATATTTTAACTACATAGAATTCCTAGTAGAGCCTTTTGCACATAATCAGTGCTGAATAGAAGTATGTTGAATGGAACTGAACAATGAGGAAGAAATACATTAATCACCTTTCATCAGTAGCCACAGAGAATTTCCCTATCCGTGGGTTATACTAAATCACCAAATCCTAAAACTCTGCAAGGTTTTATAGGTGAAAAATCTGAGGACCAGATAGTTCAAGTGATCTGCCCATCTTCACATAGTTAATTAATTAAGTGGTTGGAATGAAGGTCTTCAAATCCCAGTCCACTCTTTCTGTTTTACCAGGTTGCTTGTCTGTGAGTAAGCTACAAATTTGCATAAAGTTTTTGACCTTGAGTAATTCAGTGCTATTATAATGATATTTTCATTACCTACTCCATTATCATTAACCAACGCAGTACTTAGTTTCTATGTTACTTTAAAGATTTAGAATTGGATATCTTTACCGATTTCTTTCTATGGTCACATTTTGAAATAAGGGCACATTTTGTGGAAATTTAGAATCAGTCATTGACCTTCTTATATCTATCAAATATATCTGATAAAAAGGCGAAGTAGGTTACAGGAATAAGCTCATCTCAAAGTCATTGTTATTGTCTTTCATTCTTATTCTCTTTATGGCTTTTTAAAACATAGGCTTTAAAAATAGCACAACTGCTATTATTTCTCATCTGATAACAATGTTATGAAGTAGGCAAAAATATCCTCATTTTCATTTGAAGAAAATAAGTCAGAGAGTTAAGGGACTGCTAAATAACACACGGAACTATGACTTGAACCCAGGTCTGTGGGCTTTGCATAAAGAACACTGTATTTTGCAATAAAGTTCCTTGTTTTTTGCCATTATCATTTTTTAAAATGTAGACTGTCATAATAATACTCGTGTATGTGGGAGTTTACATCTAATTCACTTTGCTGATAATAGTT